CCCCGGAGCCGGCAGCCGCTGACCCGGGCCCCCCCCCCACGTTGTGCAGTCCGAGCAGGTGGAGTGGGGTCCCCGGAGCCGGCAGCCGCTGACCCGGGCCCCCCCATCCCCGTTCTGCAGTCCGAGCAGGTGGAGCGGGGTCCCCGGAGCTGGCAGCTGCTGACCGGGCCCCCCCACCCCCATTGTGCAGTCCAAGCAGGTGGAGCGGGGTCCCCGGAGCCGGCAGCCACTGACCCGGGCGCCCCCCCCACGTTGTGCAGTCCGAGCAGGTGGAGTGGGGTCCCCGGAGCCGGCAGCCGCTGACCCGGGCCCCCCCCCCCACGTTGTGCAGTACAAGCAGGTGGAGCAGTATATGTCCTTCCACAAGCTGCCAGCCGACTTCCGTCAGAAGATCCACGACTACTATGAACACCGTTACCAAGGCAAGATGTTCGACGAGGACAGCATCCTGGGGGAGCTCAACGGGCCGCTGCGGGAGGTGAGGTCTCCCTCACTCGGGACTCTCCCGACCACCAGGCTCCCCATCCTGGAGATGAGGGGCCGGCCCAGCTGCAGCGTCGGCTGGACGCGTCCACACGCTCTCTCCCTCTGGGAGCCTTCCTGTGCTGCATCCCCACGACCCCCCAAGGGTCCCCACGACAGCCTCTGCCTGATTCCACTTAGCCCATCTGGGGTCCCTTGCTAGACAGAGGGGACACAGGGGAGAGGCAGACCAGAGCAGATGAGCCCAGGGTGGTCGTCAGCCTTGGCTGAGTACGAGGACCTTGTGTGGCTTTGGGCAAGGTGCCCGGGGCAGCTGTAATCAGTTCCCACCAGCCGGGGGGCTTACAATGACGGAGACTGATTCTGTCCCATTCTGGAGCCCAGAAATCCCAGACCCAGGTGTCGTGGGGCCACACGCCTTCCGGAGGCTCCAGGACAGGGTCCTTCTTGCCTCTCCCAGCTCCTGGTGGCCCTCGGCGTGTGGCTACCCACCCCCCATCGCTGCCTCTGCGATCACATGGCCTCCTCCCCTGTATGCCTGTGTCCCTCCTCTTAGAAGGACACCTGTCACTGGCTTCAGGGCCACCCTAATCCACTACAACCTCGTGTTAACTAATTACACCTGCGAGACCCTATTTCCAAGTAAGGTCCTGTTCACAGGTACCAGGGGTCAGGACTTGGACATATGTTTTTGGGGGGCACGACTGAGCCCACAACGCTCACCAGGCAGTTGCCGGGTGCCTACTATGAGCCCTGCCCTGTGCCATCAGGGAGGCGAGGCTGAGGGACCATCACAGTGACCGTGAGCTTGCAGGAGCAGCTCTGGAAAGGATGGGGGAGGCGGGGAGGTGACGTCTGAGCGAGGCCAGGCGAGCCTGCAGGTGTCCTGGTGGCAGGGAAAGGTGGAGGGAAAGATGACGCGCGTCCTGAGGACCAGGGTGAGGATGAGGAGGGCCAGTGGGACGGGGCCTGGGCACTGCCACAGGGTCGGTGCAGACTGGGATTTCTTCTGAGGGTGGGGACCACTGCCTCCCAGGAGGCAGGCGCTATGCTTAACCTCACTGAAAATGTTTAATTGTACCGGATCATTCATTCATTCGTAGAGAGATACCCCATAGACCATAAAAGGCATACAGTCCGGTAGTTTGTGGAGGTTTTAAAAACTGTTTATATTAATTAATTAATTTATTTATTTATTTATTTTAAGTCATCTCTGCACCCATGTGGGGCTCGAACTCACGGCCCTGAGATCAAGAGCCGCACGCTCCGCAGGCTGAGCTGGGGGCGCGCCCCGCGGTCCAGTAGCCCTTAGCATAGCCGTTAGCACTGTCTAAGCACACAGCACCCTTGGCCCCCAGAAGGACGCCCGCAGCCGCTAGCCACCACTCCTCGATCCCCTCCTCCAGCCTCTCGCAAGCCATATTTGGTAATTACTTAAGCGTTTACACAATTCCAAGGTCAAATTTACAAAAACACATATATTCAGAAACTTTCTGGCCTCTATCCTGTCCCTCTACCTGATTTCCTCCTGCTCTGTCTTCCTCGTTCTTAACGCAAACAAAGGCGTGCCCGCCTCTCTCAGCTCCCTCCGCTGGACCCTTCCTGCTGCAGGGTCCTCCAGGCAGCAAGGCCCCAGGGCTGCTGGCCCCCAGGGTCCCTGATCTGCGTGGTGGCAGCGCATGGCAAGTGCCCTGCGGGTTTGCTCGCGCATTTGGGGTAGGGCTGAGGGGTGAGGGTAGGGTCCAGTCCCTCTGAGAGCGGGCGCCATGTTGTGCACCCAGCGGCGCTGCGAGGGACACCCACCCCAGATGCACATGTGAGAGGTGCATCTGGGGCAGCCATGTGGGGTTTCCATGCTCCATTAGTGCTTGCTATATACAGTAGGTGCCAAATGTGTGTTCGCTGTGTGGAGTGGGATATAGTGTTCCATACCTACTTTCTGCACACGGCAGGTGCTCCATCTGCTTTCTCTACATAGTAGATACTCAGTACCTGATTTCTGTACAGGGTAGGTGTTCAATACCTCCTCTCTGTATACAGCAAGCACTCAGTACAAATGTGCTGCACATAGTAGGCCCCAATACCTGCTTGCTGCATACAGCAGGTGCACGGTACATGCTTGCTGTGCACACCCAGATTTGGGGGGTTCACCCACACTTCCCTGTGGTGCTTGTATGGTTGGGTTTTTCCATGTAGATCCCTTTGGGATTATCCTGGAGTATCACGTGGGGGAGGGATTCAGGTTCATCTTCTGCTCTGGGGCTGAAATGTCTGGTTTTGCCTCGCAACTTGTGGGGCCACCTCCAGCTTGCCCCATTGTACTTGGACGGATCTCCAGACTTCCCTCCACTCGATCCCGTCTGCTCTGTGTGCCAAACCCACACGGAGCGGCGGAGGCTGAACGGCGGGTTTCAGTGTGTTGGAGGGCTCATCCCACCTTCCTGCTCTTCTTTTTTACAGCAGGCTTTCCTGCTATTTTTGCTCGTTTGTTCTAAATGACCTTACCTAGTGTCAGCAGTTCCAAAGCAAACCTGATGGTATTTCCGTTGGGATCCTGGCACACGTGTACATGAATGGAGAGAATGGACGTCTCTTGTCTTTATGGCGGTGAGGAGCTCTGCCTAACCACGGAGCATGTTCCGGCATCCCGCCGTGCCTTTCGGAGTGTCTCCACGCTCTCCTCAGACAGGTCCGGACGTTTCTTAAGCTCAAGCCCTGCTGTCTTACTCAGCTCTCTGTGCTGGTGTAAATAGGGTCTCCTCATCCACTGTGTCCTCTTCTCAGGGGTTGTTGATTTTCAAGGTTCAGCTCTCCCTTTTATCAAAATGTATCTTATTGAAGAGTGTGCACTGGATGGGTGAGCATGAGACCCTCGATAACCAACGCTCAGACTGAATGTGGAACGTTCCCACCCTCACTCTGATCTCTGCCACCACTGAGTCCTTTACTGTTTCTTGGGTTTGTACGCTGATTTTTTATTGCTTGCTATTCTGACTGACTTCTCTGATGTAGTTTCCCAGGGACTCTTTGGGGTTTCCCAGGTCATCATATTAAAAAAGATAGTAAAGAGATTTAGCGTCACTTTTCCCTTCCCAGTTCTTGTGCTTCTGGTGGCTTTTTCCTGCCTAATTGCACTGGCCAGCATTGCTAACAGAGTTAACTCGCGGGGAATCAGCACACATCTTTTCTTGCTCCTGCCTTTGGCGGTAAAAGCTCCAGGGTCTGCCCAGTAAGACGCCACCTTTCAGGCTACGGTGTTGAGCTGCTTTGGTAGATGAAGAAACTGAGTGTCTGAGGGAGGAGACGGCCCCAAAGGGAGGGCAAGATGGAAACAAGGGCTTGTGCCCTGTGTCATCCCTGCTTCCCGCCCCTACAGGAGATTGTCAACTTCAACTGCCGGAAGCTGGTGGCCTCAATGCCACTGTTTGCCAATGCGGACCCCAACTTCGTCACAGCCATGCTGACCAAACTCAAATTTGAGGTCTTCCAGCCAGGTGACTACATCATCCGCGAAGGCACCATCGGCAAGAAGATGTATTTCATCCAGCACGGTGTGGTCAGCGTACTCACCAAGGGCAACAAGGAGATGAAGCTGTCCGATGGCTCCTATTTCGGGGGTGAGCGTCTGTGGGGGCCCGGGGCTGGGGACGGAGCTGTACCCTTCCCGGGGGGGGAGGGGAAGGCGGGGAGCCTGCAGGGGTGCTAGTGTGGGTGTCTGGGTGGAAGGGTCACACTGGCAGAGGTGAGGAGGCCGGACTGCGCTCATAGCCGGTGGGAGGGCCCCAGGGATGGATGGGGCAGGTAGGTGCTGCCCAGCGGCCGAGGACCTGATGGGCTGAGGTTGCCGCCCTCGGCCACACGCAGAGATCTGCCTGCTGACGCGGGGCCGGCGCACGGCCAGCGTGCGTGCGGACACCTACTGCCGCCTCTACTCCCTGAGCGTGGACAACTTCAACGAGGTGCTTGAGGAGTACCCCATGATGCGGCGGGCCTTCGAAACCGTCGCCATCGATCGCCTGGACCGCATTGGTGAGTAGGCCGGTCTCCGGGGGGCATCCGCCTGTGATGAGGGGGCGTGGCCTGGCTGACCCTCCAGCGCCTTCTAGTCCCCGGTCAGATTCTCTGGCCTGCTTTGTCCCGTGGCCAGACGTGGTTTCCCACGTGGTTTCCCAAGGAAGAGCCAGTGTGGAGTGTTTCCATTTGTGCAGAACTTCTGCTCACTTGGCACATGTTTGTTGAGCACCTACAATGTGCCAGGAGGTGTGGACGGCGGACCGAGAGGCTATCTCGGAGGCCGCCCTCAGACTCATGTCACAGAGGAGGGGCTTCCTTGTGATGCTGAGCGGAGGCCAGGATGAGTAGCTGTTGCCAGGTAGAAAGGGACGAGGCATGTTCTGGGAGTGGACACAGAGATCTGGAGAAGCTGGGAGGAGGGAGGTGGGGGAGGCAGGCAGGGACCAGGCACACGGGACTGACTAGGTGTGGATGCAGGAGCTTGGACTGTAAATCAGGAGCAGTAGGGAGCCATAGATGGTTCTAGGCAGGGGAGAACCTGATAGGATTTGCATTGTACGAGGGCAGGTAGGTCACAGGAAGGAGACAGAGGCCTGGCCTTGAGCGAAGTGGCCTCCGGTGTAGGGAGAGGCCAAGGGTAATTTCAGAAACCGTTGAGAGGTGGAGCCCTCAGGACCTGCTGATGACTAGAATGTATGAGTCAGGCAGATGGCGGCTCTTGGTGCTATTTGTGGGAATGAAAACAACTGGAAGAGAAGGACGGGGTGGAGAGCAGCGGTGTTAGAGGAGAGACTTCTGAGTAGACAGGAAGCATTCGATTCATGTTTATATACAGGAGGCACTCAACAATTTGCTGTATACAGTAGGTGCTCAGCATATTCGCAAGCGGCAGGTGCTTAGATATGTTTGTACATGCAAAAGGTTCTCAACATATGCTTCCTGTATATCCGGAGGGCACGAGGCTCTGGCTGAGTACTGGCAAGTGCTCTCGGTGTGCTCTCGGCGCACACTGCGGGTACTCAGCACACGACTGCGCAGGAGGGACAGCGCGTGCTTGCTGCAGGGTGATCCCTGCTTTGTGTGCATAGCAGGCACTTCATGTGCTTGCTGTATACTATGGGTGCGCTATACGCTTCCTGTATACAAGAAGTGGTCCATGCATGCTGGCAGTATACAGTAGGTGTCTCATGCCTGCTTTGCGCATGCAGTAGGTGCTCTGTGTGCTTACTACACACAAGTACTGGGCTATGCTTGTCGTATACAGCAGGAACTCGATGCCCGCTTGCTGTATATATACGGCGGCAGGTCATGCCTGCCTACTGCATACAGTAGGTGCTCAGTTCTGCTTGCTATACATAGCAGACAGTTGGTACCTGTTTGCTGTAGGCAGGAGGGGCTCCATGCACACTCCCTGTATACAGGGAGTGCGTACGTGGATGCGGCCGTTGCTTGATCCGTGTGCCAGCGCACAGAACAAGTGCCCAGCACCTGCTCACTCTCCACGGGCGCGCTCTCCACGTGCTTGCTGTATACAGCAGGTGCTCGATTTCTACTGTATAGAGAAGGTGCTCCATGCATTTTTTTTTAAAGATTTTATTTATTTATTTGACAGAGAGAGACACAATGAGAGAGGGAACACAAGCAGGGGGGGCGGGAGAGGGAGAGGCAGGCTTCCCGCAGAGCAGGGAACCCGATGTTGGGGCTCGATCCCAGGACCCCGGCATCCTGACCTGAGCTGAAGGCAGATGCCTGACGACTGAGCCACCCAGGCGCCCTCCATGCATGTTTATTACCTACGACAGGTGTGTGTCTGATACCAGCAGGTTCGTGGCCCTGCCTGTGGCACGCAGGATGCGCACTCTGTGCACACTGGCCCTACAGAGTAGGTGCTGATACCTGCTTGCTGTATCCAGCAGGCACTCAGTACACGCAGCGGTATGTGCACCGGATGTATACAGTGGGTGCCCAGTACCTGCTAGCTGTATGCAGGAGGTGCTCCATGTATGCTTGCAGCATATACAAAAGTTCTTACGGTACACAGCAGGTGCCTGATAACAGGCTCTGTACACGGCACGCGCCTCCCTGCGGGCTGCACGTAGTTGGGGCTCCCGCGCACACGCGCCGTGCACCCTTCGTGCCGTGCGCCCGCGCTGACGCCCCTGCCCCGCCCCCAGGCAAGAAGAACTCGATCCTGCTGCACAAAGTGCAGCACGACCTCAACTCGGGCGTGTTCAACAACCAGGAGAACGCCATCATCCAGGAGATCGTCAAGTACGACCGCGAGATGGTGCAGCAGGCAGAGCTGGGCCAGCGCGTGGGCCTCTTCCCACCGCCGCCGCCGCCGCAGGTCACCTCGGCCATCGCCACGCTGCAGCAAGCTGTGGCCATGAGCTTCTGCCCGCAGGTGGCGCGCCCGCTCGTGGGGCCGCTGGCGCTCGGCTCGCCGCGCCTCGTGCGCCGCC